GCTCGAGCAGAAGCAGGCCCTCCCGGATCCCCCAGCCCGTCCGACACCACTCCCCCGTGCTGGTCTCCTCTGCAGCCTCCAGCCAGGCAGAGGCAGACAAGATGTCAGGTATGTCCACTCCCGGCCCTTCACTGCCTCCTCCCAGCAGCAGCCTCAGCCTGGAGGCCGGCCCCAGCCAGCCCGGCAGGCTCCCTGCCAGCGGCCCGGCTGAAGGTCCTGAGAGAGAGGAGGAGCAGATCCCCAAGATGAAGGTGATCGAGAGCCCCAGGAAGTCGGCCGGGAGCGCTGCAGGGGCCAGCCAGGACGGAAATGCCAAGGAGGCCAAGGAGGCGCGGGCCCACCCGGAGGACGGCCGCTCGCGGAGCAGCTAACTCTCCTCTCGCCACCGCCACCGTGTTCCCTTCTCCGCTGGGCAAGGAGCCCTTCCCGCCCAGCAGCCCCCTGCAGAAGGGGGGCTCCTTCTGGAGCTCCATCCCCACCTCCCCCGCCAGCCGGCCGGGCTCCTTCACCTTCCCGGGGGACAGTGACTCCCTCCAGCGGCAGGCGCACCGCCACTCGGCCCCCGGCAAAGACACGGACCGCATGAGCACGTGCTCCTCGGCCAGCGAGCAGTCCGTGCAGTCCACCCAGAGCAATGGGGTAAGAACGCCTGGCAGCCTCCGCCCGCCCGCCCCACTGCCTCTGTCCCGCCAGCTCTTCTAAACCTCGGCGCTGCGCTCTCCGTACTAACTCCTGGCTCTCCGTGCCGCCTGCAGTCATCAACTCCTCCGGTCCTCTCTGTGCCCTGACCACGTAGACACATGTAGCTCCACGTGCGTGTCCGCCGTCTGCAGGACGGGCCACAGCCAAGCCCACACAAACGCCTCCTAACCCCCCTGCTCCGGGGACAGCGCTGCTCTCATCTCTACTAACTCGCTCTCTGCTTTGTTTGTGTTTCCTTAATGTGGGAAAACCCGTCATTAACCTTCTGAACGCGGCATCTGTACGTCCTTTCCGTTTTCCAGCCAGCAGACTCTTGGAACTTCCTTTGTGTCCCGCCTTCCTCACTCAGTTTTTAGAGGGTCAGTGTCCCTGCTGCCTGCCTCCTATTTAATTTGAAACCTACACTTTATACGCTTTTTGCTCATCGCTTGGTTGTGCTCTTTTATGCCTTAAATTATCTTTACAGCATTTTTAATTCATCTGCTGGGGGGAAAAATAATAAAACCTGAAAAAAAAACCTCAAGACAACTTCCAACAGCTACTCAGAGCAAACTAAGCTGACAAAATGGGGGGAAGGAATCTCTGCAGAGGAAGTTTTGCTCCCTCCACAGTTTCACTCTGGAAGAGAGAGACTGCTGTAGGGCTCCTGCCAGCGCTGGGAGCAGAGGCGGAGGCTGGAGTGGGAGCGTGTCTGCATCTGTCCAGCAGGGGGCGCAGTGCGGGCTGCGGCACCCCAGGAATCCTCACCCGCATTTTGCCTGTCACCTATGTTGTAATCTCAAGCAGAAAGGTTGCTGTGGTGGATTTTCCCCCCATTCTGTGGCCTCCTCACTCTCCTCCCCAACTGTTTCCTACACAGTAGATGGCCTGGCCCGTAACACCTTCCTGAAGGCATGCGTGAGAGAATACGACTGTTCTAATGGGTGTATGTTGGATTGCTTTATACATTTTTAAATACATTTCCCTAAAAGGGTGTGTGTCTCTCTTTATATATATATATATATGTATATATAAACATCTGGCTTATGCATGTCTCTCCTCTGGACTTCTATTAATTCCTTGTTCGGGTTGGCGTGGCCTTATCCTGTCCTCCTCTTTGTTGTTATGTACCTTGTTAAACTCCATATTTAATTGAGGAAGGAGTTAGGAAGTGGGTCTTGGTACATGTATTTACCCTGAGTCTTACTCTCAAACTCGTGTGGCCGGACAGGCACCCTCTGCATGGCCATCGCCAGTATCCGTGTTCCGGTGCCTTTCCATGAGCTGCAGGGCGGCTTGGCCCGGTGGTGGGTCTGCAGTGCTCGGTGAGCAGTGAGGGTCAGAACCCGACTTCAGCCACAGGAGGAGACGCAGGGGGCCCAGCGACGCACCTGTTGGACACTCTGATGCAAGCTTCTCTCGCAGCTGCGACCCCTACGAAATGAGCCAGGGGGCATCACGTAGGCGCATCCCCCGAGCACCCAGGAGTTCTCAGAGTCTGTGCTTCAGAAGGAGCACCCAGGCGCTACAGCGCAGGTGCCCACCCATAACAGCCACTCTCTGGCTGCCTCCCAGGATGTTCCCTCCGAGGCAGAGGCACAGCCGCGTGTGGCACATAATCCAGCAAGTCGTAGGTTGCAAAAGTTGCCTCTTACTTCTGTCGGTCACTTTTTCTTATGTGGCAGGCAATGGGGAACTTGCCAGTGTGGTGGGTGAGTTGCTGAGTCCTTACAGAAATGCCTAGAGGCTTGGGGAGACCGCTAGAGGCTCAGATGGGGGTTTGGCCTCTAGATTCGAGTATTTCAGTTAAAAGTTACCACCGCCCTGCCCTGTGCCCACCCACTTGGGCCACCTTACCCCCGGCCGTCGGCAGCGGCCTCCTTCCTCTTGACCGCTTCCGGGGAACTGTCTGCGGTCGCAGGCAGGCAGGCAGCTGTGCCTGACCCACGTCCCAGGTTCTTCTTCCTCCTTTATATGGGCACCTTCTGGAAAATTCCACTGAGAACAAGAGTGGAGTGGATGTGGATCAGCCAAACTGTGCAGCCCCCAAGTGTGATGCACAACCTCCCTGCACACATCCACCTGGGCAGCAGTAACAGCAGCCCTGCCTTCCTCTCAGGGGCCAGGTGTCCAGGGCGAACCCCTCGCCTCCCACGCCATCAGGGGGAACGGCCCTGCCCACTGGCATGGTGGTGGTGAGCATTCGGGTAGATTGTAGAGGCCTGTACTTACCTTGGTACATAGGACGTGTTCAGAAACCACCAATAGCTATCATGATTGTGGAAAAACACTCCAAAGATGAGACAAAGCCGGCCATGCGATGTCACCCAAAGCGGCTGTGCCACCGAGCTCGCTCTCTTTCTAGCAAACTTGGCCTTGTAATCACAAAACTCCTGGCTGTGGCTCTATAAGCCAGAACACTAAAATGCTCACTGAAAGGATAAAACTGCAAAATGACTATGCACAGGCCAGCGCTCACCGACGACTGCACGGGCTTCTGCGGGGCGGGAACGCAGCAATCTCCTTGGTGAGATGGAACGGCAGCGCGGCCCTCCCCTGTGTTTCCTTTAAACATCCCTGGGGGTCTGGATTCAGAGCCGATTCCCAGCACGCTGGCTTGTTGACAGCAGTCCGCCGCCTGCCCCAGCCGTCCTGACACCAGCCCAGTAGCCAGGGTGACCGGCATGTGGCAGGGTTGTTGCACAGTCACATCCACCCCGACACAGGACCTGTCCCGGGCGTCCGGGGGCCAGGCAGAGGCTAGCCATCAGAGGCCCTGGGATCCACGCATCTAGGCCACACCGCTGGTGCCTTCAACCGATTGGATGAGGCCCACCTCTGAGAACAGGCTCGTGGGAGCAGGGCACTGGACGCCATCCCCCATGTCCCGACTCAATAGAAGGGATTGGCCAAGATGTAGCTCAGGATTCGGCAGTGGTCTCAGCTTCCTCTTCCTCCTCCCCTGGAACCAAAGGTCGCCCATTTGACAGGTTGGGACAAATACCGCCTTCTGTGTTGCTTCCACTTGCCAGCCAATACCACTCAGCTTGTGGGCCCCGTAGGTGCGCTTAAGCAATGATCCTTGTTTTGCGTTTGCAATCTTGCCTCGCTGACTGAGTGCCAGCTGCATGTCGGTCACTGCTGGACACTGAGGACACTGCGGGCCACCCACCACGGGACACGTAAAGGAGGCAGATCAGTCTCCCTCAGAGCAGAGTAGCAGTCGATTTACTTTTAGGTGTTCTGCATTCCAGAAGGGAAAAAGGTGGAAGTGACAGGTCTGCCAGCGACGTGGCCAGACCCTGGAATGTGCGTTCTCATGAACTTTTCCTGGCGGATTTGGGGGCTCCTCCACCCTCCAATCCTTCAGTGAGCGGAAGGGCTACTGCTGGCAGCTCTTCCACGTAATAACACTGTTTAAAGGAGCGTGGTAATCGCGGTGGCATTGCTGTGACGTGGGTATAACCCCACATGGCATGAACACGAGACCTGAGCCGCGCTCCAAAGGCGCCAGGAGGTGGGGCTGAAATCGTGGCGCTGGAATAAAAGCTTCCCCATGGGAAGTGTCGTCGCGTCACTGGTATATTTTCCGGATTGTTCCTCAGTTGCTTTCTAGAGAGACTCTGGTGAGCGGGCTCCGAGTGGTCCCGTCGCGACACACACGGACACGTGTGTGTGTGGGTGGGCCTCGTTTCAGGTCCCTCTGCCTTTCTCTCTCCGTCTCCGCCCCTCCAGAGTGAAAGCAGCAGCAGTAGCAACATCTCCACCATGTTGGTGACACACGATTACACGGCAGTGAAGGAGGATGAGATCAACGTCTATCAAGGCGAGGTCGTTCAGATTCTGGCCAGCAACCAGCAGAACATGTTTCTGGTGTTCCGCGCCGCCACCGACCAGTGCCCCGCCGCCGAGGGCTGGATTCCGGGCGTCGTCCTGGGCCACACCAGCGCAGTCATCATGGAGAGCCCCGACGGGACCCTCAAGTGAGTGCGGGGGCGGCGGGGAGGGGGCCGGGGGCGAAGCCACTGCGGGAGCAGCCCTGCTCGGTCCGCTCCAGCTCCTCGCCGGCAGGGTGGGCCCGCGTGAAGATGGCGTGCTGTCTCTCAGACTCGTTTCCCAGGTTCTCACGACCTGCACTGGTATACACACGGCTTTTTCAAGCCACTAGGCCAGTGATGGCGAACCTATGACATGCGTGTCAGAGGTGACACACGAACTCATTTTTTTGGTTGGTTTTTCTTTGTTAAATGGCATTTAAATATATAAAATAAATATCAAAAATATAAGTCTTTACTATGGTTGCAAATATCAAAAAATTTCTATATGTGAGACGGCACCAGAGTTAAGTTAGGGATTTTCAAAATGCTGACACGCCGAGCTCAGAAGGTTCGCCATCCCTGCACTAGACAGACCTTGATATTTCAGTCCCGGGATGTCTGAGGAAGGGGACTTTCCAAGGACCGCTGACTCATTGGTGTCCGTCAGTGAGGATACTCATTCTGGAAGCTGCGGGTGAAGATGGACGGTACCTTGCCTTTATATATACAAAAAGGCTAAATCAGGAAACTAGAAAACAATTTTACTGCATTAAATATTATTTAAAAAAAAAAAACAAAAACCTAAAGTCAGGTGCTGGATTTAAAAATTCCCTCTCCTGAACCCCTCTGGCTGTGGCCGAGGCTGGCCTGGCCTCTGGGATACATGGCAGGACTTGGGGACGTTTGAGGTCTCCAAAGGCTTCAGCCCAGAAACCCAGCCCCAAAGGTGCCGACGGTGGTCATGGCCCCGTCCCAGCTCAGCTGTGCCCTTGGCTGGGTCAGCAGCACAGGCTGCGCGACATCCCAGCCCCAAGCTGCGCCTCTGGGCTCGGCGCTTGCCCCTCCCACCCCCCAGGGAGGCCGGGCTTGAGTTCAGGCTGCAGAAAGCCTGTTTCCCATGACAATCTCTTGTCCTGTTTCTCCTTGATACACAGAAATATTGAATTCTAGTACATTGTTCAAGAATTCCAATTTCATACTTTGTTTCTTCCAAAAATATCCTTGGCACTGCTTTAGGGTTTTCCAGAGAAATAGACTAGAGTGTGTGTGTGTGT